CCAGCAGCGCTTGGTGGGCATCTTCAGACTGCATGGCAGTGGAGCATTCCCGAGCCAGCATGGTGCGAATCAGATGCTCTCCACACCCTGACAAAACACACACAGCGAAAACCAAACGTGGTTAACACTTTTTAGTTATCACAGATTTAGACTACAGTCTTCTTTAAAAAAAATTTTGAATATATATATACTGATGAGTCTCGTTTGTCAGATTAAAAATAGCTTTTGAAATTAAGCAAGTGTTAAGCATACTTTTCATTAAGTCCACATTTCCGTTTTTAAAAATAGTTTTTATACTGGTCTAATCTTATTAGCGGTTAGCAAAAAACCATCACGATGAAGAGAAATAAGGGTGCTAAAACATCAGTCTTTGTCTAATTACCCCATATAATGAGTTATACTTGGTGATGGAGTTACTAAAATAAGTATTTCAACAACATTCTAACATATGGAATAGGTATATGGCTTTTAGGTCAAATTAACTCTGAGGCTTTAAGGTTAGGTTTGAATTTTTCTTTATTCCAAGTGGAGCAATTAGAAATCAAACACAATTCTCCACATTCTTTATCTCAATATTGTAGCCTTTTTCAGACTTCTAATTTCTTGTATTTTTTTTATGTGCATAAAGGATTTATTTGGCTCTAGTGGCTTTTTTATTTGATCGTGAAGCTACAGGAAAGCAGGTCGTGAGAGACGGGGAAGACATGCGGCAAAGGTCAACAGGCTGGGACTCAAAACCACGCCGACAGAGGATTCAGGACTCTGTATATGGGTTGTGCGGTCTTCACCTGAACCGCAGGCGTGCTCTCTTGTAGTTTTCATAATTCGAAATATGAACCTCAAAATCTCTAGAATGGCAACTGGTTCTTAAGTTTGAAATCTTTCACAAATAATTAAACACAATAACTCTTTTAGCTGTGAAAAAGTATCCAAAGCTGCATTGGGATACCTTAAAACGTTTCTGAACATTGGCACCATTATTTAGATTTTTATTGTTTTAATCCAGAAAGCTGCAGTCTTGGTGCTTGGTTCATCATTTTCATTCCAATTGAAGGTTAAGTTCAGTTCAACTAGAATTCAATGTCGTCCAGTGACCAAACAGATAGTGAATGGGCTCTTTTAGGATTGAGAGCAGTTTACCATAAAGTCAGCTAACCTAACTCTAATATTGCCAAAAGGAGCAGTCCAGTCAAAATTATGCCAAAAGGTTGGCACAACAAAAAAATTCTAAAAATCAAACAAACAAACAAAAAAAACACTTTTTTGACATTTTCAAGTTGAAGACCTATTGTGATAAATTGTCATGTGGTGTCTGTACATTATCTAGCCATTAAAATCATCCCTGGTTAAAAATCTGAGCATTATGCAAAGTCACAGCATTTTTCTATTTGTTTTCCAGTTGGTCTAATTAGGGATGGGAGAGTCGGATTGCAACCTAAAGTCAATATCCAGAGCATCCAAAAGATTTTTCAATGGGATCATTGTCTGGAGTCTGTGGTACACTAGTCATGCACTTAAATACTGTCTCGTCTTCCCTTAACCACTTAAAAAAAAAGAAAGAAAAGCAAAACGAATCTTGGCATCGTCATCCTGGAATATGTCTCTGCCATCATCACACTGATGAAAGAAACAGGCTCTTCAACAGATCCTGGCAGTCAACCCAACAAAGTTTTAAGACACATAAAGTTGTTGAATACAAATATTTTCTACCATAGTCATCCCAGATTATGCTATTGTCCCCCAAAGCTTTCCAAAGTAGACATGATGAGTGAAGTATTTACTTCATTTTTACAATGGTACATCACTTGAGTAACAGAAAAACAAAACAGACCAAGCAGACCGCAAGCTAACGTATTACTGAAACTTTTAAATATTTCTTTATATTGTTGAAGAAGTAATATTTTTGCTTTTCTCGTATGCAAAAAATGTTTTTTCATTCAGCCAGCTGGTTTGCTGTTTGAACCAATATGTGAGGAATGGGCATTACTGAACCAGAAAAAAAATCCGGTCACTCTCGCACTTACTTTAATATCTAGCTGGAAATACTTTTAATTAAAGACTTAAGATGAAAGAACCGTTGTAGGGCTAAGCAGGAAATATATAAAGCATGTAGTGAGCTGCACAATCACTACTACATCTTTTTTTTTTTTTTTTTTTTTTTTTTTCAATTTAATGTTATTAACCAACAACAAGTGATGTGTTAAGAGAAAATTAAGACATTTTTGACTCCATCACTGAAAATCTGTGAAAAGTAAAGCATATGATTACAACAGAAAAATGAACAGGAATCTGAAAGTGAAAATAAAACCCATTTGACGACAGAGCGCTTGTGAAAACTCATATAAAGGCTGAGGAATAATACAGCCTCATTGTTTCTGTAAATACGAATTAAATCTCCCATAAACCTCCAGGTAACTACAACAGAACAAAATGCAGGTTAGTAACTATGCAGGCCAAGTGCCTGGAGGGATTTCCAGCTCTTGCTAAAGCAAAGGAGAGGGCTTCTCTCGCCATCGACTCTGCAGCTTACCAAAGAGCCTCGCAGAGGAAAGGAACCAGAGATTATCAATGTGGCACGAAGAACTGGATATAAAATTGAGACTTGCAACACAACAATAAATAAATAAATAAATGAGCTAGTAATTGCAGATGAAATCTGTTTCTATGCTGATGCCTCAGTGACCACAGCAAAGCCAAGACCAGATGAAGTAATAAAACTATGACCCAGATGAGCCACATATTACAAATCTGACTAAATCGGAAAAAGGGAAGAGGGGGAGTAGGAAGAGGTGGTGGTGGAGGAAGAATTGCGTGTGGCTCTTTGTGAAGTGAAAAAAAGGGGTGACATGAGGGGTAAGGTTCACGCTCCTTGTGTCAAATTAAAAAATATTGTTTTTCTGTTTCTTTTGATGGAAACGGCTTTCAAGTTAGGAAATGAAAAACAGGTGTTGAGCTGGAACCCACATTGTGCTTTTCAAACCCATAAGACTGGCTTTGTGTTGGTTACATCAAAGCAAAGAAGCCACAATATAGTAAGACAGGGTGAAGCGAAAATACACACAGGGAGGAGGCGCACGCACTTGATCTGCTGAGATAACAGACCAACCTTTACTAACAGCCTGCTCAGATGCAACAGGTACACGGCAATCAGCTGAAATGCATAGAAAACTACCACCTCTAACCTGCAGGTAGAGAGCATCTGTCATCCTGTTTGATCACTTAGAGAGCAATATACCAACCATATTTAAGAAAATGACCATGATCTGCCAGCAAGTTTGGAGAGATTCTTGTTTATTACTTTAAAACAACCAAATAATTGCAGTGGATCACACCATCAAGTCAGCTCTGTGCATAATTCAGGACGTATTAGAGGTTCAAGTACACAGAGCTCAAGCTGAAGCCTGTCTGATCAACTCAGCTCATCTGCACTGAGACGCATTAGGCTACAGATCCACATCAAAAGGCTTCTAATGTTCCCCAGAAGCTATGCTGGAGACATCTACACATCTTAAAAGAATACAGCCTTAATTTAAAACCAGACTGCATTGACTTGGTTTCTAAGACTAAAAGGAAAGCAGACTTTCAGCTGCTCAAAATGCAATAATCTACTCAAAAGAAGGAAGATTGTTCTCTGGATGGTGGATTTTTCTTGACTGGAGAGGACCTATTTACGTAAAAAGCTGTTACCTTAAGCCAAAGAAAGGCAGGGCTTAGTTTACAGAGATTCAATGCAACGTTTGCCCCATTTTGTCATTTTATCACCACAAATAAACCCTGCATTTTATTTAAATTTCGTCTGATAAACGAAACAAAATAGCACATATTTCTGAAGTGGAAGGTAAACTATGTGTAAGTAACAGTCCCCTTGAGTCAACACCTTGTAAAACCACTTTTCTCTGCAATTCCCTAAAACCTAGCAGGGTCTCTCTCTACCAGCTTTGCACATCTAAGGACAGAGTTGTTCAATATCACGAAATAGTTCAAGCGTAATCAGACCAGAGAGAGTGGCTGTGAACATCAGATTTTAGGTTTTTCCATCAATGATTAACAAGATTTATGTCTGGAAATTAACTAAGTCTTTCAAACACATCTGCCCGTTTCATTGTACCTCAAGCTAGAGTCACTGTCCCGTTGAAAGACTGAGTAGCATACTGAATGGTTTTGGTTGGATCTCTTGAAGGCTGTATTTGGTTTCATGCTTTACGAAAAAGACACACAGCTTTGTTTATTAGTTTGTTTACTCTGCTGTATCCAACAATGCAATGCACAGCTGGTCTGCTGTGTTTACATCTGCACAAATCAACCGCTCCAAGGGGAGAAAGTGCTACGCCTTCACCATGCTGAGTACAAGTTTCAGATTACGACCATTAATGATACCTACTTAATATATTTTGCACACATATGCAAATAGCCACATGTGAGAAATAGATAAAGACCTATATGTGGGTCATATTAAAATAAAATGACATGATTTTTCACATAAATAGAAATTTAAGTCCCAATAAAAATATCCCACATGAAGGTTAAGTCAAATATGATCATTTAAATGTAGACGACTATTCTTAGCGAGTTTCCCATTATTGTATTTGATTCGCACCAGTTCTCCTAGTATATCTACAGCAGGTATCCCATGTCAAATGTCACTAAAAATCCACACAGCTATGTAATGCACCTGGCATGCAGCTGGCTAACTATGGGTGGAGTATGTTGACTCAATCAGCTCAGGAAGTGACTGATGTGGATCTCTCAACAGGAAAATTTAGAGGTCATCGGAAAGCACTGTCTATTCATTCACATCATGGCCAAAACAAAAAAGATGGGCCAGTGGTAAACAACGGAGCCACTGCACTGTTGCATGTTTTAGCACAAACTCCTAAGGAAATGCAAAGTTGTGTGGAACAAGAGGTTATACCTGAGGTACTCACTGCTGTAGAGTAAGAGTTCATGTTACAGGCGTTTTCAGCCCAGCAGCCACATCCATAATGAGCAGCCTAGAATAAAAACAGGGAGAAATAAGACTGAAAATTAAGAAAGGGTTTGCTGAATTAGCTTTAATGGAAAACTATTACAAACTTAAATGTTACCTCCGGCATTAAAACAAGAAAGGAAAGCTGCAGTAATTATTTCAACCTAATTAGCGGACCCAAGACTCAGGGCTGAATATGAGCGTAAAGTTTGCTAATTAGTTTGAGGAAAAACAACTCTACTAACTTTATCTATTCAAGTTTCATGTTGTAGCCATTTTTCAGTTGTCCTACATTAAAGAAAAGCAAAAGCCAGGACTACTTTCAACTGGCTCAAAGTAAAACATTTACTGTACACACGTTTGCAATCATGTTAAACAAAGACATTTAGTGTGCTGGTAAGTTAATTTGTAGTAGGAACTCTCATTAATTTAGGCAATATCCATTAGGAACCAGAAGTTTATTTGGGTTATTACATCAGGCTGAGGCAGTGCCAGACTAACACAGCAAAGGGAGAAAAAAAGGTGAACAGAAAGCTGTAAGACTTCAGCGGTAATGTCATGATGTGCGGTGGTTGGAGGTGAGAAAGATGCCGGTGAACCCAGGTAGTCATGATGAAAATGATCATTTTAATAAAGAATCGGGAGCAAACTCATAAATACAAGTAGCACTGGAAACAGACAGAAGGACAATAGACGAGGACCGACAAGAGACAAAGACAACAGGTGGACTTAAATACAGGAGGGTAATCAGGAAACTTGACACAGCTGGGATCAATCAACAGGGAGGACAGGACAGAGACTCACAGGGAAACAGGACTAACACAGAAAATCTCAAAATAACTACACAGAAAAACACAGATCACAACAGGTAACAGCTGTTTGCTGAAATATCCAAGCTGCTGTGTTTCAGCTTTCCAAAGGCGCATTGATCAGTAAAATTTTGGTAACTGTGGAACATAAAAAATATACTAAATGTCTGCCAGGAGGAAATCTTGTTTGAGAATTAGAGATACAGCAACAAGCAATTAGTGGATCCTTGCATTATTTTATGCTGTGACCTCCCAGTCAGAAGCTAAACATAATCTTTTATGAGATTATGGAAATATAGGTTGATTGCTGTTACCCATAGATCTTGAAAGAAAATGAGAATAGGTTAAAATCTATATTGGCAGATCAGAGTTTTATGAAATTGGAGAAAGAAAATGGGTCACAAAGGTCTGATCGTTGCATCTCTGCTAGCCAAAAAAAAAAAAAAAAACACTAAAGGGGCAATAATAGTTTCCCAGTGAACCCAGCATAAACAAAAAACAGACCTGTTGGGATGTTCTCTAACATAAATGAAAGGCAGTTATCTGGCAACAGTCGACATCAAAGGCAGCATTTTAGAGAAGGCCATCATATCGAGTTAAATGGTCATACTGGAGGAAATGTTCTGCTTTGCTGCCCCAGAGGCCATGGATGTCATATTCAACTATGAATTATCCATTATACCAAAAGCAGCAATGAATCCAAATGTTTCAGTTGAAGCAGAAGATACTGGTTATGATCATCACCAAAAGATTACAAAAACTTAGGTACGGAGAGTCATGAAAGTCTAGATCTGTAAGAAAAGCCAACATCAAACTAGGGAAAAATATATTATATCTGTTTACTTAAATATATTTTGAAATGGACAAGTGGATTTTACTTATATAAAGAAAAAATAAAGTCGAATTAAGGGTTTTGGATTTCAATTTTGTGTGCTTACTGTTGATAACAGAAACAAGTGTATATATTAAAAAACAAGCCACTATGAGAATAAATGTATCATCACGATAGAAGAGGGTGATCCTACCTGGCCAACCCTTCCAGGATGTTTCATAGCTAGGCCTCCACTGGACACAGCTGCAGCCACGTTCCCCTCCGAGTCCACCACAACAGCTCCGACTGTGTCGAGGCACCCTGAGCCGTTTTCCTACATCACACCAGGAAAGAAAAACTATTCGCGTGGATGGAATAACATGAACACAGATGACAATAATTCCTTAAAAATTTGGGCAACAAAAAATAAATAACGAATCATTCAGAGCCCACAAAAGACAAAACTTTGAATATTTACAAAGTAGGCAAGGACAGCATGAATTTCTGAGTCCTCTTCCTCCCCTTTTGTCTTTAATAAAAATGTTATGCTCTAATTTAAATTGGCTCTTTCTTTCCCTGATTACGGTTTGTGTCGGAAGTGATTTGTTTGCGATCAGTCCATAGTGGATGATGAATTAAATTCTGGATGTGAAACGTGCAAATCGGCATCCTAACACGTGACCACAATTCCACGTTCACCAGAACCTAAATACCCTGACTAAACCTTGGAATAAAAAGGAAAGAAACGAGAAAAGAAAACAGTGCGAGGCTTTTTCTCTTCCATCATCTGCTCTCTTGAATCAGTCATCTCTCTGGGGTTGTAAGACCAAAACGAGGCCAGAGCCAGCAATTTCAAAATTAAAAACCATTGTGCAATACAGCATCCGTGCCTTTCACGGATGGCTGTAAATGATGGCTCCAAAACATGGGAAAATAAAAATTATGTCAATATGTTTTAGACTCCTTGGACATTTTTAACTATACACCATCAGTACACAGGTGTTTCTTGTGCCATGAATTAAAATGAGGAAAAGAGGAAAGATTTTATTGCTTGGCAACGAGTCAGGAAGGCATAAAAAGAACATTGTGCACAAAATTAAAAACAGGCAGCCCAGGCCATGTTTCTAATAAGTTGTTACATTAAACCTGGTAATTTCCTTTTAAATGTCAACTGCAAATTTAAAACCAAGAATAATTTCTTCACTGCATCAAATAGTCACATATTAATCTTCCAATAGGTCACGCGTTTGGGAAAGAAAAACAAACACTTCCTTTGGAATAACAGCCATCTGACAGAAAGATTCATCATTGAATCATTGGTCACTTGAACAAACAAGCAGCCCATAAAAGCTATTTGTTTTATTTTGCATTGAACATTTTGTGAGTGAACTATGATGTGGGTTTACTAAACCAAAATACGATTAAAAAGTAATTCCGATGAAGTTTGCATGCTACATGTTTATTTACGTTGCACAAGATTCACATGTGAACCAAGATAAACGTTCCCACCCTTTTCTATCGCCGCTTCTAGTGGCAGGGAGTTCATATGAGAATGAACGTTTTAAATGATACAGTAAATACTGACAGGCTACCAAACTTTACACCAGGTAGTGTAACATCCATAAAACAGAACTAAGTAACATGAAACAAAACAACAAGAACTGGAATAAAATGAAAGAATGGAGGCAGATATTATTTTCTGTCGTTTAAATCCTGTTAATTCCACAAGAGTAAAATTTGCGGTGTGCGAGAATTTATTGAAATGAACCATTTTACTTTACAATTGTTAAACTGTTCAATAAAGAGAACATCAGGGTACAGTGTTGCCTTTCTGCTCAGCTGTGTCTTCACTACAACAGACCAGAGCAGCGCTCACATCACTCACCACTCTACCCATTGATCTCTCGTTCCATTTTTTCCTAATTTCCCTTCAAATTACCAGTCACTAAAGTCAAATTATACACATTTGATTCTTTTTAGCGCAGCGATTTGAAATCTGTGGGCTTTTAACATGAAAGTTGTTTTTTTCTGCACTCCTTCCTGAAAGACCTGGCAACATACAAGTAAATTGCTAGATTTACACATCTTACAGTTGTGATGCTAAATGCAGCTTAAAGTCAAATGTAGTCATACTCCAGGCAGATTGGGATTTAAATTATTTTCACTCAACAAATAAGTTCATTTCTGGAGTGGAAATGAGACTTTGGGAGACAGTTTTAGAACTTGCTAGACTTTCATAGACATCCTCAAGCTTCTTCACCGCAAATAAACATTTCTCCTTGAGTTTCTTGATGACTGGATAAATGGTTGAGTTGTGTGGACACTCACTTCTAGTCAAATGTTCCCTTTTGTCTTTGATAAGAAAAAAAACTCACGTTTTCACTTGATTGTCGTCTTTTCTTTGCCTGGTTTTGTCCTGTGTCCATTTTCTCTGCTAGCTCCATCTTTCGCTTGTTCCTCTTGTATGCAGATAAACTGAACTCTGGATGTGACAAAATAATGTGGCCCCAATTGCATCCGTATAAAGTAGAGCAAGTCTTCTAATTTCGTTTAAGGCGTATTGGTTTATTCACTGTCAAATACAAATTCTCACATTTTTTAAAAATGTTTATAAATAATTCAACAATACTCACTTGTTGCCATTTTCTCTGAAGGGCAAGGAGGTATTCCATGTCCCACTGCCCAGTCATGTGCTCCTCGCCCCACCAAAAAGCTACAGAAAGACAGCAGAATTAACAAGAGGGAAACACTAACGTTCCGATCTTTGATCATGAGGCTTGATAGTCACCAGGGTGGTATTCTGCCTGCTGAGAGCTTCCCTTTCTGTGCTTCAGTCAAGAGGCAGCTTGCAACTAAGACAGGGTTTTTTATACCTGAGGAGAAGAAAAAAACAAATGAAGTCATTCATTTAAGCAGAGCATTACAGTGTAATGAATTCATTGAGATACATGCCTGCGTCATGTTGTGGAGATGTTTTTATTGAACAGAAATTAGAGAGTAGACCTAGTCAGAGTTGATGGGAAGATGGATGGGGCTAAATACAAGAGCAGACCTACAGAAACCCTGTTACTTCAGACTCGGGTGAAAACTCTTTTTCCACAAGGACAACAACCCTAAACATGCAGCCGAGGCTACAATTAAATAGTTCAGAACAGAATATCTGCATGTTTTTGAATGACCTAGTCAAAATCTAAAGGTAAATTCAATAGAGAATATCTTTCAGATTCTCTTCACCCATTCAGATTAAACTATTTTCGGAAGAATTGAAACTTGACCATAAAATCATTGTAAAAATGTAATAAAGTTTGTGCATGGAAAATAATAAAAAAGGGAAGATGTCTAGAGATGTGAATAGTCATGTAAGGAAGTAAAAGTCAGTAAGAGAACATGCATAAAAACAATGCAGTAAAGATGCTGCAAGTGTACAAGTGAGTTTAAATCTAAGGGAAATCAAGATGTGGAAATACAGATTTATGAACTGCAAAATAATAATGTTCTAGGTGTTTTCAAGATGGAAAAATTACTGTATAAATGCTGTTGTATGAACGGCTGCAGTTGTTGTGAGAGACTGGAGAGGATATTAAAACACATATAGATATGTTAAGAGTAGAAACTAACCACTGATGGCTCCGACTGCGCCAAAATGAAGCGACTTCCCGTCCATGATGCTTGCATCACATTCAATTTCCCCAGATAGATTAAGGTTGGAGCCCATGCCAGCATTTGTAAAAGGAGAGTCCTGACAGCAATTAAACCAAGGGGGAAGTAAACAAAAAACAATATCTAGAGCAGAAAAATCATTTAAAGAAAGGAATGTCACTAACTATTTAAGATAATACCCCAACAGAGTTTGCTCATTTATAATCTGCTTCTAAAAATGAAATTGTCAAAATATCCTTTTTGTCAGCTAGCATGCAAGATAATATCTTTTGTTAAGGTATTTTCTAGTGTTTATTGTGATAAAAGCAATGATTAAGAAAAAAAAGTATCTACAATATCCTTGCAGTCGTTTTAAATAACTATATGTCACTTACTGCATGTCAAAGTCATACAAACCAGCTCGTTTACATTATGAAATGATTTTTATTCAACCAACCTCTAGTTCAACCAGGGCAGCAGTCACAGCTTCCACTGCAAGTGCACCTGCTCTCAATTGGTCTACAGCCTGGAAAAAATAATGACTGAATTAAAACAATGAACAAATCACGGTGAATAGGTGCTATGCATTCTATTATTCTATAACTGTAGGTTAAACACAATGCATCTAATTCAGAGAAACATAAACGTACCCTGTGTCTAAAGCACCCCATTCTGAAGCAGCACACAAATGTTAAACAGTGCTAAAGAAAACGATCCACAAAGAAAGCTTTTTAGGAATATTATAAACTACTCATTTACAGTTGCGAAAATACATCGTCTACGTCACAAAATAAAACTGTGAAACTTGGCTCCTTGTCTGTATTGTGAATAGATGGTATGTAAATCAGTCTAAACAGAAGTGGATTCTTGAAAACTATCTTGAAGTGACAGAGAATGACAACTCTCTTGTGAGACCACCACAACCGTCTCAACAGAACAGCCAACACAAATGTTGGAATTGTGCTGAAAATATGTTGCATTTGTGGTTGAGTTTGAAGA